AGTCTTACCTATGTTAAAAATCAAGTGACTCTAAGTCTCCTTCTAGACTTCTATTTTGTTCTATAGTAAATCCTTGCACTTATACCATACACATTTAATTACTATTGCTATATATTAGGCCTTAGTGTTTGATAGAATAGTCTCTAACTTTGTTCTTTTCAAGATTACTTTGTCTTTTCTCGGCTCTTTGCATTTCCATACACATTTTGAATTGAACTGTCAACTTATAGGGTGGGCAGAAGTTTTCTGGAGTTTTGATGGTAATTTCTTTGAGTCTATAGATGAATTTGGAGACAGTAAAAATATTTACAATCCAATTGTCTCATTACATGAACAGGTTATATCCTTTCAATTATTTTTAAAATTTCTATGCATTTATTTTTTAGATTTCTACCTATATCATTTCAAAAATAAGATTTTATTATGTATGAGATGCATTTTTCATTAGAGGTATTCCTAGATATTGAATGCCTCTCTAAATGTTATATATTTTTCAATTTTGTTTTTAGTTTATTTCTGGTATACAGAAATATAATTTACTTTTTTTTGTATTGACTTTGTTTAGTAATCTTGTTAAATTGACATATTAATTCTAGTAGTCTATAGATTTTTCTGAATTTTCTAGATATATAATCATGCTGTGTGTGAATAATGACAACCTTATTTCTTTCTTTTCACTCCTTATACTATTCGTCCTTCTTCTTAGCTTATAGCACTGGTGAAGTGCTCCAGTGTAGTGTTGTATGAAAGTGTTATTAAACTGACATTCTTAATTTGTTTCTGAACTTGGATGAAAGTGTTCAGTATTCCACTATAAAATATGAAGTTTGATGTAGGTTTTAATACAGCAAAACATTATCAGTTTAAAAATATTCCCTCGATACCAAAACCAAACAAAGATATTACAAGAAAGGAAAACTACACACCAATATCTCCCAGGAACACAGATGCAAAAATCCTCAACAACATATCTGCAAATCAAATCCAACACTGTATAAAATATTATACACTATAGTGCAGAGGACAATAGGGGAAGGGAGGGAAAACTGAAGGGGAAGAAATAAGAGAGGGAGACAAACCATATGAGACTCCTGACTTCGGGAAACAAACTGAGGGTGCAGGGGGATGGGGTAATTCGGTGGTGGGCAATAAGGAGGGCACACGATGTGATGAGCACTGGGTGTTATATGCAACAAATGAATCACTGAACATGATATCCAAAACTAATGATGTATTATACATTGGCTAATTGAATTTAAATAAATAAGAGAAAAAATATTATACATTATGACCAAGTGAGTTTTATCACATATATGCAAGCCTGGCTTTTCATTAAAGAATCAATTAATATGATATATCACATCAACGAACTAAAAAAAAATCATTTGATCATATCACTAAAGACAAAAAAAGCATTTGACAAAATCTAACATCCATTCATGATAAAAAAAAAACTCTCAGTAAACTATGAATAGAGGGGAAATTTCTCAACTTGATAAAGAATACCTACAAAATGCTATAGCTAACATCATTCTTAATGGTAAGAAATTCAAAGTTTTCCTACTAAGATCAAATAGAAGGCAAAGATTCCCTTTACTACTCCTTTTCAACACCATACTAAAAACGGTAGCTAATGCAAAGGACAAGAAAAGGAAATAAAAGGTATACAGATTGGGGGACGCCTGGGTGGCTCAGTCGGTTAAGCGTCTGCCTTCGGCTCGGGTCGTGATCCCAGGGTCCTGGGATCGAGTCCCACATCGGGCTCCTTGCTCAGCGGGCAGCCTGCTTCTCCCTCTGCCTGCCGTTCCCCCTGCTTGTACTGTCACTCCCTCTCTCTCTCTCTCTAGCAAATAAACAAATAAAATCTTAAAAAAAAATTTTTTTAAAGGTATACAGATTGGGAAGGAAGAAATAAAGCTTTCTTTTTTTAAAAAGATTTTATTTATTTATTTTAGAGAGAGAGAGTGTGAGAGAGAGAGCACAAGCCATGAAACGGGGGGGAGAGGGGGTGTGGGCAGAGAGGAGAAGCTGACTTCCCCCCTGAACAGGGAGCCTGACTCGGGACTCAATCCCAGGACCCTGGGATCATGACTTGAGCCAAAGGCAGATGCTTAACCAACTGAGCCACCCAGGGGCCCCTAAAACTTTCTTTGTAAATGACACAATTGTCTATGAAGAAAATCTGAAAGAAAAAAAAAACCTTCCTGAAATTCATAAGCAATTATATCAAGGTTGCAGAATACAAGATTAATATACAAATGTCAATCACTTTCCTATATACCAACAATTAACATGTGGAATTTGAAATAAAACAGAATATCATTTACATTAGCACTCCAAACACGAAATACTTATGTACAAATCTAACAAAATATGTGAAAGATCTGTATCAGGAAACTACAAGACCCTGATGAATGAAATCAAAGAACTAAATAAATAGAAATTCCATGTTTGTAGATAGGAAGACAATATCATCTAGATGTCAGTTGCTCTACAGACTCAATTCCATTCCCATCAAAATCCCAGGAAGTTACTTTGTGGATATCCACAAGCTGATTCTAAAGTTCATAGGGAGAGGCAAAAAGCCAGAATAGCCAGAACAATACTGAAGAACAAAGTTGGAGAAATGACACAACCTGAATTCAATACTTGCTATAAAACTATAGTAAACAAGACAGTGGGATGTTGGTGAAAAAATAAACAAATAAATCAATGAATAAAGAACCCATTAATAGACACCCACAAATATAGGCAACTGATTTTTGACACAAGAGCAAAGGCAATACAATAGAACAAGGATAGTCTTTTCAACAAATGCTACTTGAACAACTGGACATCCACATGCCAACAACAACAACAACAAAAAACAACCCCCCCCCCAAAAAACCCCAAAATGAGTCTAGACAACTTTCACAAAAATAACTCAAAATGGATCACAGACCTAAATGTAAAGCACAGAACTATAAAAAATCCTAGAAAATAACATAACCTAGATGATCTTGAGTATAGTGATGACTATTTAGATACAACAACAAAGACATGATCCATGAAAGAAATAATAAATTAGACTTCATTAAACTTTAAAAAAATTCTACACTGTGAAAGACAATGTTAAGAGAATAAGAAGACAGATTAGAGACTGGGAGAACATATTAGCAAAAGATACATTTAATAAAGGAATTTAAGTTGAATTTAATATTCAAAATATACAAAGAACTCCTGAAACTCCTGAAACTCAACAATAAGCAAACAACTTGATTAAATAATGGGTCAAAGACCTTAACAGACACTTTACCAAAGAAGATATGCAAATGGCAAATGAGCATATAGAGATGTTCTAATGGCTTCAGGGAAATGCCCATTAAAATGAGATACCACTCCACACTTATTAAAATGGCCAAAATCTGAACATTGACAACACAAAATGTTGATGAGGATTGGATCAACAGGAACTGTCACTTATTGCTGGTGGGAATGCAAAATAGTACAGCCACTTCTTTTAAAGTTTTTATTTAAATTCCAGTTAGATAACATACAGTGTAATATTAGTTTCAGGTATACAATATAGTAATTCCACACTTCCATACACCATCCAGTGCTCATCACAACAAGTGCATTCCTTAATCCCCATCACCTATTTAATTCATCCCCCCACCTCCTCCCCTCTGGTAACCACCAGTTTGTTCTCTATAGTTAAGAGTTTATTTCTTGGTATGTCTCTCTCTTTTTTTCCTTTTGCTCATTTGTTTTGTTTCCTAATATGAGTTACCACATGTGAGTGAAATCATATGGTATTTGTCTTTCTCTGACTGACTTATTTCACTTACCATAATACACTCTAGCTTCATCCATGTTGTTGCAAATGACAAGATTTCGTTCTGTTTGATGGCCATCATATATGTGTGTATATCTTCCTTATACATTCATCGGTCAATGTATACTTTCATATTTGACTTTTGCAGCCACTTTAAAGATAGTTTGGCAGTTTCTTACAAAAGTTAACATACTCATATCATACAATCCAGCAATTGTGCTACTTGGTATTTATCCAAAGGAGTTGAAAACACATTTACAGCAAAACTCACACACGCAGGTTTATTCATAATTGCAAGAACTTGGAAGCAATCAAAATGTCTTCAAGGAAGTGAATGAATAAACTGTGGTACATTTAGACAATGATATATTATTCAGAGATAAAAAGAAATAAACTGTCAAGCCATGAAAAGACATGGAGGAATCTTAAATGCATATTACCAAATGAAAGAACCCAATTTGAAAAGGTTGCATACTGTATGATTCCAACTATAAGACATTTTATCATGAACTAATGTTGAATAACTCCTACCAATCAGTAGGAAAAGAGGCACAATCAATAAAAACATGGACCCAAGATCCAAATAGAAATTCACAAAATAGCATATCTAATGGCTAAAGAGTATGTAAAAAAGTTTATCGACATCATTTGAGAGAAATAAGTAAATGAAAAACCAGCATGATATACATTTACACACTCAGAAGAATAGCTAAAATTGGAAAAATTATTCTATCAATAAACAGGAAAGGAGAGCTAATATGAGAAAGTTACAAGGACTCCATAATAATTCAGGGATAATGCATACCTTCCATCTTCCTTCAACTCTCTCCCCACTCCTGACTCTCCTCAAAGAATGCTTGATACATATCACCAATCATTTACAAAAGCTTTTCACAACCAACATAGAATTGGCCCCAGAATCACATTTAACACAGTCTCACCATGGACTTTTCTTTTCCACTGTTTCTATTCTTGAATTCAAAGTCCCATTCTGTATTTTACTCTTTTTTTCCAAGCCAACACAATGTTCATGAATGATTCAGGCTGAAATATATTTTATTTAGCTCTTTATTCATTACAGACATATACAGACAGAAATACTAGGTCATGAATGAAGTACTAGAGGTAATGAACTAAAGAGAAGATTTAGTTAATGTTTGTCCTTTTTGTGAATGGGTCTCTTCAATTACTCAATGTGGTCACATTGTCTCATGCAGCAGAGAGTTGTAGGTCTTGCACAGTATGCCATCTTAAATTCTTTTTCACCACACTGATTTTTACATTGACCACTAAGCTTTATGCATGCTTCCCACCAATTAAAGACAGCATAGTGCTCTTTACTTCTAGCTGAAAGAAGGCAAAAATGAATGGAATTAAAAATTCAGGTAAGAAATGCCAAGATTTAAAAGAAGACACACAAAGAAGCACAGACCACAGAGGGAAGAAAAAGGAAAGGGATTCACCGGTTTTTTCATTGGAATCTTTCTGTCTCTGTGTACATCAGAGCAAACCAAGGAAATCAGCAAGCATCCTATTCCTAAGCTAGATCTCCCACCCCTACACATTTCAACTGATCAAGTCATGACTCAATAAGGGATATCTGGAGAGCTTGCAACATCGTAATACCTTTTTCTACCTCTCTTGCTCATCCCTAATGAATATGAGTGTGCCAATCTCCATCTTCTCTCTCATTTATTATAAATGCATAGTTCTGTTCTATTGTGAACCTTTCCTCCTCCACAAGGTTTCATTGTTCATCGAAACCTGACTTTAGTGTTTTAAAATACTAAAAAATACTGTTTTTTTTAAATTTTATTCAATATCTCAACTCTTCTTGGATCTGTACCCCACTTTAACCCCCAGGAAATGTTCACTTAAAAACAGATACTTTGGGAGGTTAACATAATGAATAGGAAATTAACAGAAAAGATAAACATAGCAAACGTTTCATCAAGGCTGTTAATTTTTCAGTACTACTTTCCCTTTTCTCTTACACTAGAGTTTCTGAACCTATAGAAACTTTAAAATTTTTCACTCGTTCACTTTGCAGTGTAGTTCCTTTGATTTTGTAACTTCAACAATCATGAGGAATGAGGTAAGGATCTGCTGTTTCTTCAGAACAGAAGTTCTGAAATGGTTTTCATTTATTCCCTGTATCTTCAAAAATGAAACTATAAATAAATGGTGCAGATTAACACAGAACCAGGTTTTAGCTCAATATAATAAATGCCTTTTTAACATTTAATGCTTTTATAAAGATCATGAAATATCTTGTATTAGTAAATACACATCCATCATCCTAGATAAATATAATCAGGCCCTACTGGACATATTTTAGAAGGTCAGCCAGAATGGGTAAGCCATTGTCACTGATGTCTGTAGGCAAGCTTTCATCCCAGAGACCTTTTAATTCTATAATTAACCAAACCCTTGTCCATCTTTTTCCAGTAAAATATTTTACAGAGGGTTTTTTTGTATACATATTTTAAATAAAGTAGAAATACTATTCACATGATATTCTCTTTATTCATCTATTGCAATTTTGATGACCATATAGGTTATTTGCTATATGGCAAATATTGTTACTATTAATATTCCTGTACTCATTCCTCAACCACATGTACCAGTCTTCTGTTGGATAGACATATTCACAATGGAAATCCTAGATCATAGACTATACATGTCCTCAGCTATAATAGATTGTGACAAATTGTTTTCCAAATTGGTGCTACCAGTTTCACTCTCTTCAGCAGTGCATGAAAATTCTTACTATTTCATTTGCATTATCATACTTTGCATTATCAAACTATAAAAATTTTAAATATGCTTTCGAATGTGTGGTGGTATCTTATCATGGTTTAAATTTGCATTTTCCTGATGGTTAATGAGGATAAACACTTTAAATAGGTTTGTGTATCCACTTTGACAAATTACCTAAGTCTTTATCCCATATTTCTACTGAATTTTCTGTTTCTTTTGATTTATTAGAATTCTTTATGTATTTTAGATATAAGCTTTTCGCCAGCTATATATTTTGTAATTTTAATATTTCATTCTATGGCTTGGCCCAGCTGCTATATAAGAACTGAGGGAATTTTTCATGTGAGGTGTTGATCAAGTGGTGCTATGGCCAAGAAGGAAGAATCTTAGAAGGTTGTGAGTACTAAAGCCTAGGTTTGAGATGAAGGTGACCAGAGATAATGTACACTTTCTCTGTATATTAATGTAACTCTGTAATTAATATAAATTATTTTGAAATTAAAAAAGAATAACATAATTCTCTAAGTTCATATAAATGCAGGTATATGTAGAGAAATATTGATAGATATATAAACAAAAATAGACATTTAGAGATAGAGATACATAGATAAATCAATGTATATTATAAACAAGGTAATTTTGACTTTGAAGAGTAAGAATTCCAGAATTGCAGATTACAGACTAAGGGAAGATTTAATCTAATGCATATCCAGTCATAGTGAGTAAATGCCAGTTTTTAAGTTTTTATGTCATAAATGCAGGCTTTTCCACTTATACACATTGCCAACAATATCTGATAGCCAAAAAATGGTATTTATTTTGTTAATGTCTCAAAACAACAGCTGTTAATGAATATACATAACTGCAATAAAGGATGACTCTTCTTTAAACTTACTTTCTTCATACCATAATTGAACTGATGTGATATACAACAAAACTTAAGCAAATAGAATAACCAAAGAACAAATTATTTTTCTATGTTTTTAAGTATTATATCATAAATCTGAGTACAGTCTGACTTAGCTAATGTTACCACATCTTCAAGAATAATCCTCAAATTTGGCATTATGATCCAACAAATCAACAATTTCTTACATGCCTCTGTCCTTTTTCTTGTTTTAAAAATATCCTTGTTTTCTTCCTTTTTTTTTTCCTTTTCTGCCCTCTAAATATGTGCATTCCTGAAGACTATTTTTTGGTTTTCCTCTCTCCCTTTATCCATGCATCTGTCCATTTATTCATTGATTCATTAAATAAATCTTAATTGAGCACCTCTATATATATCATGCACTGTGGTAGTCTTCAGCAATGATAAACAAAACACAAAAAAACTTGGCCCCTGTATAAATTAACTTGGCCAATGACCTCGTCCCTACATCTTTTTCTGAACACTGTCACAAAGACAACCTCTTTCTTTACCTTCCCATAGAAATTTATTTGTATCACTCACATGGTGTTTGTAACATTCTAACTTGAGAAGACACCTTGCTAAATGATATTCTAAATCATAATTGAGATAAAGACTAAAGCAGAGAAGAATTCTTTTTGAAATAAATCCCCAACACCTAGTCTAGACTCTTCTTGCTCAATTGCCTTTTTAAGTTATCTTAATTACAGCATCTTTGGAAGTAATAAGAACACCTTAATTAGCCTTTCTATGTAACAATTATATTTTATGTATCCAAAGATATCAGGCTTATGGACAAGGGGCAGTGGTGATTGACTAAAAGAAATTTTGTCAGCTGTCACATAAAAGGGAAACTAAGACAACTTCGAAGTCCCAGTCTGACTTCTAAGCATAATGACACTAACAACATTTTTTAAAATATTAAGGATGCTAGAAGCAATGATTGGAGAATGTTCCATTTTGGAAATAGTAAGAACACCTGTATAGATAGAGTTTAATAAAAAATAAGACCCTACAACTTTAAAATGAGACTTCTTTCTCATTCTGAACATGAAATCCAACCTCCATAACACTAGACATTGAAAGACAAGAAGAGTTAAATAAATGGGAGTGGGATGGAGAACATAGGATATTTCCTCCATTTCTTTTGATAGATAGTGATTAAAATTGCAAGATATAATTCTACTTGTTTTATTTTACCTGGATTGTTTTCCTTTGTACCATATTTTGCTTTTCCAAATATTGTGGAATAATTATGCATCTCTGAGTATAGTTTCTCAAATCTTTTTCTACATATGGTCATCAATAGTGGCATAGAATTGGTAATAGGTTGGTCACAACCCACTGCAAAAGAGAAAAACATTACTTTAAAAGCATAAGAAAAGGGTATTTTCCAAAATAAAGACAATACTGTATTTGTCTTTATTTCATGGTTCTATATACTATAAGAGGTTTTAAAAAAATGATGAGCTTGTAAAAATATATCTCTTCAAAATTAGGTTGACTAAATAAATGAATGGCTTGGCTATTAATAAGCTTACCTCACATGACTATTATAAGGAGTAATAAATTAATAAGGACAAGAGGCAGAACAGATGCTAGCTATTAACATCATTACTATTAAGGAAAAAAAGCATCAGTGCATATTTAAATCTATGTAATTCTACATAGTATCTCAGAAAAATTCTGCAAATATGGAGAATTTTAATGAAGGTTTTAATAAACTTTTATAAAGATGATGAAGAAAAACAATTATTCTTACTTAAATAAACTCCATGTCCTTGAGTTACATTATCAGTTGAAACTCAATTCTCTTTTGGTGAGAAATTGTCAGCTAAAAGTTACTTGTGTTTGAGTGTCAGAACAGAGTAGCAGTAAGAGAATGAGTAATTATAGATTTATTTTATGGTGATCTCCTCCCATCTCAATAATGACAGATATCTTGGTGACCCAGAGAAAGTAGCAAAATAAAGAAGAATTTAAATGGAAGTGAGTATATGTATAGCTAGTCTTTGGTCTTTTGGCTAGGCATTTAACCTCACTTAACCTCTGCTACTATAAATGCAAGATGAATAATTTGCAAGCATAAATTCATTCCATTCTCAATTTTTTTTCAAATCTACTAATATATTAAATTTAGTAGAATTTGAATATTAAATAAAGACACATTTCATGGATTAAATCATGGTAGTACTATTTTTTCAATAACATATATATGTACATATATGTATAAATAATTATATATATGTAAAATCTCATGTAATCAAAGTGAATTGCAGACTTTATTAGTGAATTGTCCCTGAAAAATTATTCAGCTATTTTCTCCATCTAGGGGCTGTAAATAAATATAATATTGTCTTGCTGATAGTGTTAATGTAATGATTTTATAATGTTAATCATATTTACTTAAAAAAATCCTGACCCCACCCCACTTAGTGCTGATCCCTGTGGCAATAGCATTCATATTACCTGGTGGAATGAAGACACCAAAGGACAAAATAGAAAAAGAAAGAAGGATCTTCATTGTAAATTATTCCTTAGGAGAAAACAGCTCACAGATCTTCTGTCTTAACTTATGTATTGTTGAAATAAGAAAGAAAAAAATCCTTTCACTTATAGAACTCTTCTGCACAGTCTTGATTACTGAAGCTTGTTAAGAGGAAGAACATTTCTATGCTTGGTTGAATGTTCAAAAAGATACTGGCTAGACAAAGTCGGTGCATTGCCATACAAAAATGCCATCTGTTGATTTATCTTGAGGCTAGTTTCTCTACAAGATTATGGGTATAAATAATAAATAAATAAATAAAGGTTGAGAATAACCCTGCAGTAATTCACATGATATTGCAGAAGTATGTGTTTTATATAACCACATTTATCATTTTAATGTCCCCAATATAAGAATCTCAGTGTAATGAGAAATCCAAAACAGAATTTTAGACTGATATTACCACTGAGGATATTTAATTTTACACAAAGAAGTATGAGATGTAGTGTGGTCAAGTGATTTCATAATCCATTAACATTTTTATTTAAAATATATATTAACATAAACAATGACAGCATACTGACTTGTTTGAAAATTATCTTATCTAGATCAGTTGTACCCTGAAGAAAGGTCTATCCCCTCAAGTAAGTTTTATGAATGTCAGTGCATAAGCATCCTATGTTAAAAAGTCAAAGTGCATTTCTATTTTTTTTCCTATGTAGCATGAAGTTATTTCTGAGATCATTCATAAGTTTTCCATGGTTTATTATAGCAGATATTGGCGAAATGCAGGTGAAATTGTTCCTGAGATCCCATAAACAGACATTAGGAGCAACAGTCCATTGATTCTCTCTTACTACACCCAAAGAAGGCACTAAGAATCTGGGGATAAAGGGTCCCAGTCAACATTAGCCATCCTTATTCTACATCAACAGAGGTGTTTGCTATAAAAACATGCATATTTATAATCCTAGCAAAACTTTATGAACAAAGTAATAGAGATATGTCCAAGAATTGTTTCCTTCTATAACCAATTTCTTCACTTTGTAAAATCTGAATTTAAAATGAGGGATTGGAAGTTAAGAACTTGGTGGGAAGCACATGATTGAGAATTTTGTCATCATCTGACATAGAGGAAGACCATTTAAGACTGTCTCTACATAAGATGAATTCATCAGAAATTAATCTAATACCTATTAATGTGCCTATTGCTCTAGTTGCTGTGAAGAAGTTACTGTGAAGAAGATAGTGTATTTGATTGTTGTGGATGAGAATAAGTATTAGTTGAATCACTACAACTAAATTTAAAATTCTATTAAAAATAAATTATTGGGTAGCTTCTTTGTTATCAAAACTCCAGTGAATAAACCTTAAGAAAAGAGCAAAGAAGAAAGGTCTCTCTTTGATTTTCTATTCTATTCCTTTCCAAAGGTAGGACAAAGGTGCAATATTGTTACCTTCAGAGACTGTAACCAATTAGAAATTTATGTTGGATATTTCATTTATTAAATCTCAAGGGAAAAAACAACAAAATGAAAATATTACTGCTGACTCACTTAGGATAATTTGTGACTCTGGTCTAATCCAATGGAGAACGTGGAAATCCTCCCTTTTTTGAGCAGGTAAGCACCATCTCAGTCTTTTACTCTGGATGCCCAACACATTAAACACAGAATCTACCTCATGAAGCAGAACTAGACTATTTTTCAACACTTATTATTTGAATATGACAGTACATATCATTTAAATAGTTTTTGTTTTACAAATACAAAGAATTTTAAATCATAGACAACTGGATAATTTAGGAAGGTTTGGATTCATTGATCACCAATCTGTGATCACTTTGTAGTCATTCCAGATATTTAGGAAACCTAAAAAAAGACCTTGTCACTGCCTTGAGGAGCTCAAATTATTTTTGAAAAGACATGCAAATGGAGCACTGGATGTTATACACAAACATTGAATCATGGAACACTACATCAGAAACTGATGATGTATGGTGACTAACATAATAAAATAAAATTAATTTAAAAAAAAGAAAAGATATGCAAAGAAATATATGACAAAGCAATAGGGTAAATGTTATAAAAGTTGTATGAAAATAATTTTTATATGTGTTCTGAGTGTAGTTTTTCCCCTCCAATATCACAAAGTTCAACATGGAAGATTGCATATTACAGTGTTTCTGGATTAGGGATTTTGTGGATCTAATCAGAAAAATCTAAATTGTGAAAATTAAAGCAAAAACTATTGCATTGAGTCCATTGAAGAAAGTATTTTATCCTGTTTCATTTTCTCTTCATTTCCTAATTTTCCTTATTAAATTATAGAGAAGCAATTTATCACTCTAATTAAGTGGCCCAGGGTCTGCAACATTCACAATTATCAAAAACCACACCATCTTAATAGTAAAAATGTACAAAAGGTGTGTATTTTGTCAATTCAATCAATTGGCAATGGCTATCTAGACTGTTGAGCTGAAAAGAATTCTAAGGGCAATTCTATGTTCAGTGGGAAAGAGTGTTGTAACTAAATGATGATGTATATCAAACATTCCAGGCAAGGAGAGTTGCTAAAGAATTATCACATATTTATTGTCTCCAAATTAATAATATGAAATACATAGGATCATAAAATTTTTGTAACTTCCACATGTTATTATTTTCTGTTATTATTGGTAAAACTTCTAAAAGAAAAGCAATGCAAATTCTAGTATTTAAATCAAGCAGCTTTGCAAGTCTTTTAAGGAGTGTAATCCTGAAGGGGTTGGCAGTGAGAGACTCTTTCATGGAGAAAATGAGTAGATTAGAAGGGAAAGAAAAGAAAGAATGGAAGCATACCTATACACGAGAAGTAACCTTATAACTTAGTCTATAAAAATTAGAAAAATCCCAAACATTTAATTACTTTAATTCATTGTTAGAAATGTGCTCTTTGCTCCATACAAAAATCTTGCTACACTGTCATTGGCTATCTCTTAAAATTGAAATAAGTATTACTCACATAGGCATATATATGCAATCTATTTGCCAGACCTACCCTAGCAATTTTTTCTCAATTTTCTCTAAAATGGCAATCAGCAAATCTTTTCTACCATGCTTCTATGTTTGAGCTCAGAGCTGCTCCCTTTTCTCTGAACCCTTCTTCTGACATCTTTTTCTAGCTCTTAGTCCTGAGGAGGTAACCCCCTAAACTTAATAGTTACTTGAAACTATAAGTGCTTAATTTTCTAGTCAGTGGCAGTTGGATTATTCTCACATGTCTATTAATCTAATTGTAAATGTCACATTGGGGAGCTCAAAAAATTGGTCACTACAATTAAAACAAGATATCTTATCTGAAGGTTTATATCTGTCCAGACTTTTATTCATGGGCTAATTAATTTTTCCACATAGTTTCTTCAGCATGAATGCCCTGCCAACCCTTATTCCATTATCTAATTCCAATTATTTCCTTCTTTTCAATGTAGGTGTCGTGTTTTTATCAGCAATCATCATGACTACCCTGGATTAGGTTCTACTCTCCTTTAAATTATCTCTTTTTCTCTCCTTCTCTCTCCTGATTAGATATTGAGTTCTTCAAGTTCTTGTAGAAATTGTATTCATCCTCATACTTAAGTGGGTCTAGCTCAGTCCTACTATTTAATAGATATTCAGCAAACATATTTCTAATTGACCTCTAAGAGTTGTACTTTTGTTCTTTATTTGCTAGACTTGAATTTTGAAAAAAATACAATGTAAGTTATCTAAAATAAGTATTGTTCAATTGCTCAACATCGTCTACTACATAAACATTTTTAACACCCTCATTCCTTACTCAAGAATATTGGGGAGTTCACTTGCTTTGCCTTAATTTTATTATTTTGCTGTTATTTCTAAGCATTTTGAATAAAACATGATTCAAATTAACTTCTAAACATATAAGAAGAATCAAATTGACATTTTTGATTGGAAATTGTAAGGACCAGATAACTTGGTCGGACAGTTTGGGGAAGAATACTATGGACCCTCACAGTGGTGGTGAGGGCAACTGGGGAAGAGTGAGCTACAGGGCAAAGTCACTCCTCCCTCCTTCTTTTTTTTATTTATATAATGAATTATTTGTTTCAGGGGTACAGGTCTGTGATTCATCAGTCTTACACAATTCACAGCACTCACCATACCTCCCTCTTAAACTCATCTCAAGCAGAAACATCTTAAGTACTTTAATCTTAAAGGAAGTTGTTCAAAGTCCCTGACTCTTTGGGAAAAGGTAGTTATATCAAGTGTCCTCTTTCCCATTTTGTTTCCTCACTTCTTACTCCCTTTTTTTGCTCCCTGTCTCACTTTGGGCTTGACAAATTATAAATAAAATAAAATTCCAAACGGGTAGTGTTTTTTCTTCTCTCCATATACCAGTCATTCTCCTAATCAGCTGTGTCCCATTCATGAGAAATGTCTGAACATCCACATCGAGTGCCCCTAGTCTGGTGGATCTAAATTGTTTTATGATGTAACTTTCTTAAGACAAAATGACAGAGAAACTAGTAAGATTTGCCTTTCAAATTAGACTTTCTTCCATACTTTGGTCCATCTATCGGGCAATACTACTTTCTATAGCTAATTCCATAGCAAATAGAAAATGTGTTTCTGAAATACCTTCAATGTAATCGATTCTGTCTTTCTTATTTTTTATGTCTTGAAAAGGAGAACTGAACTACAAAGATTTCATGTTTATATATAAATGACTGCTACTCCTGAATGTCTCAAGCATATATATTCCATTTTCTCATCCTTTGGTCATTATAGAAATTAATGAACAGAGTAGTAGTCCTTAATGGAAGTTTTAAGAAAGCTTTAAGAAAGATACTAAATTCTAGATGCATGGGTCTCTATTTTTTTCTGTCATTCTTAGTTTTTCATCATCTTAACTTCACATCAGCTAATATACAGCCTGAGATGAAGGTTTTAAGCAGTAAACAATTCTAACGTATTATTTGCTCCAGTGATCATTGCATTGTCCATAATTTTTTCTTGCATGCCTTCCAGAAGCCCAAG